CTCTCTCTCTCTCTCTCTCTCTCTCTCTCTCTCTCTCTCTCTCTCTCTCTCTCTCTCTCTCTCTCTCTCTCTCTCCAAAACAGAACATTTACATATGCAAAAAATCTCCTTGAGGATAATCACAGCAAGGCTTGAGCTGTGGGACCCGTCAGGTGGAGATACCTCGCAGGGTTTTAGGAAGGAAGATGCATGTCTGATGAAACCTCCAGTGTGAAAAATATACTCAGGCATTTGCACAGACACACTCAAACCCCATGAAAAACTAATGCATAAACACAGCCCATTTCAGGCTGTTTTTGTGGCGAGGGCAATAAAACATGAGCACAAAAACCTTTATCATGCTCAAGGTTCAAGGACGGGGCTATAAGTTTCAGTTTTTTTTCAGTGTGTGTGTGTGTGTGTATACATGTTTTTGTTACCCGGTGAGGACAATTTTTGACCATTTTCCCAGTACACACAGCCTGAAGAGGACCGATTGTCCCATACGAGGACAAAAGCCCGGTCCCCATTGAGGGAAATATCATTGGTGCGTCAGGGGTTAGGACTAAGTTGTAAATTTTTAGGTTAGGTTTTGTGTCAGGTTGTGAGTTTAGGTAGGGTAAAGTGTCAGCTTAGGGGAGTATTTACTCAGAGGGTCCCAGGAAAGTTGTTACTCCAATTTCATTTTGGATTGTTTTCATTCCAACATGCTATTGATAAAAAAAATTCAAACAAAAAACTATCCAGATACATGGCACCTTCCAGTTCTAGWGAATTTGATGGTGGTTATTAGAAATATAAATTTTTACCATTTTGACACCCTATTGGCTTGTACGAYGCAAATTATGTCACACTCCAACAGGACAYATCAGTATGTAACCYCATGAGTGTGGCAGAGGATTACATGAAACTGAAACAGGAAGTCAGTGCATTCAAATTTTTTTCAATTTTAACATTTTATTATAGCACTACAGTCTTTATGGTGTTTAGAAAAATGTTTTTTGGGTGAGGTCACTTCCCAGTGAATATTATTTTGTAAATTCTAGCCACTCCCATTTACTCCATACTTTTACTTTTATRTTTAAGTGCATTTTATGTCAGAAATTTACTTTTGACACTTAAGTACGACAACTGAAGGTAACWTWGTTACTTGAWYGTGGTATAGAATTGAATTATGTACCTGGAAAATACATAATAATCCACTTCTAAAGGTAATATACTGGGTTTTCTGCTGGCTGTGCTGTTTTCTCTCAGTCCAAAAACAGACAAGTTAAGGCAACATATAAGCTGGTGAACACCATTCACAAGAGTCTCCACAATGTCTGTAAACCTTTGCAGGGGATTGTCACTTGACACKAAGTTATCACAGGCATCTCAAACCACTCTGTTTAAAATGGTAAATAGTCTGAACTTAAACAGCACCTTATCAAGTCCAGAAATTCCAAGCTGCTTATATTCATACATGGAAAGCTTCTTTTTTTATTTACAGCTCTGTATCTGTATTTTGAGACCAGCACAGTAAATATCTGAGGCTGCAGCTTTAAATGGCCAGATCTAAAAAACTACACTGATAACAATTAGTTTTAAAAAGATCATTTCAAAAGTGTACTCTAGTAGATTAAATCCTAACCCTGAGAGCAGCTGCCAGCATGAGTACAAAGCAGACTGGGACAGACCATGTGAGTGGAGAGCAATAAAATCACATGCGTGGCCAAGAATCCAATTCTGCAAATGGTGAACACATAAATAGGTTGTTATTTTCAATAACAGGGTTAATCAAAACATGGGCACACTACTTGCTACTTGCTTTTTGCAACTTAAAACTCTTGAATTTTGTCAAAACTTTGAGTCARCCAGGTAGTCTCAGTCAGTGAGATCCTGACTTCAGATTAACTGGAGATTCTGTTTGTCTCTGTGTGGACCTGTGATGGAGTCCAGGTTGGGTTGCTGGAAAACTGGACCTGAACAAGGTGTCACAGGAAATGACTGATCAAAGGATGAGGCGGATAGTGAAGTTGTTGGAGCAGTTTTTTCTGGTTACTCAAAGTGCTTTTTGTGTTTGAGAATCTGCACCAGGCTATTGGAGCAAGCCARAAGCACAGAGAGTTAAACGTCTTTTAGTGCTGCTATAAGATTAAAAAAATAATAATCCTATAAAAACACAGAGCTATGTCTTGTCAACTCCTCTGAGTTCAATGTTTTCTCAGGTCTTGTTCAATTTGAAAGTTTTCAGGAATATGTGAACAACTTTTCACTGAAGGCAAAGAGTTTCCTTACAGAACAATAATCCATTAGCTAACCCAAAGCTCCAACACGCAAAGCCTCTTCATCACCACAAAAGCTTCACATTCAGAGTAAGAGCYACTGTATTCAGGACACAGGAACGAGCGCACTCTGCCTCCTTATTTTTTAAATTTTTTTATGTCTGGCCCATTGACATGTAAATGTCCTCCTGCTATAAGGCATCAGCAGAGAGCAGAGAGACTGAGGGGGAAAAAAACCCACTGAATTGAAATGTCAATAGTAATTTTTGGCATGCAAGGGACATCTGAGAGTCAAGGGCTGCCTCCCGGGAGAAATGTAAAAAAGGAGGAGAGTGAGGGAGGAATGTGGAGGGAGGATGATGTGTGTGTGTGTGAGTGTGTGTGTGATAGAGAATTGGAAAAGGATGGACGATGTAATGGAAGGGCAGATAAAGTGGAAGTCAGTGTGATGGAGGAGAGGAAGAAGGGGGAGTAATAGCAGTCAGAAGGTAAGCTGTCAGAAGAGGAGCATGGGGGGGGGGTTAARAGAGGGGAAGGAGGAGAAAAGATGGAGAAAGGACAGTCGCGTGCTGGTCCTCCTCTGGGATTCTCCCCCCTTCTTCCTCCACTGATGGACAGGCTGAAATACCACAGGAGCCACCTCCCGTAATGATTTGATGAATGAGCTTCCCCATCCCACACCCCCACCCTCACCCCCGCCCCCCTCCAGCCTTCTTCACACTGCGGACCCTCTGCATGCCCTAAAACAACATCACACGCCAGGAAACCGGCAMCATCTGCACACATAGGAAACATATTTACTCACAAACATGGCCATCCTGTGCACTGGCACCACAGCTGGACATGTCAACGAATATTTTTATTTCTGTTTTATTTATTTATTTATTTATTTATTTATTTATTTATTTATTTATTTATTTATATTTTTTCGGGGGGGGGGTGTTTTTGGTGCTGAAAGTCAGTCAAGCCAATCGTCTGTGTTTGCTCTTGTCTGATTTGATTTTGCAGGTAATTCTGCAGCAGTAACACTGTGAATAGTGCAGAGCAAAGTCATTAATACTGGATTTTCTAATCAATGGCTCTGGCGCTGTCTTGTTTTCCAAATCAATGTTGCTGCTTTTATTTTATCTGACATGTCCTTTGTGCTCCTTTGTGTCCCCGTCACACGAAGCAGGGAGAAAATTTACCTTTAGAAAAAAAATGCTGAGATTGAAAATATATTATTTTAGAGAAAATGTCACACTGAAAAGCTTAAAGGAGTCTTCTTTTAAAAAATAACTTCATTGTCTGAAGAAATTACTGAAACGACTTCAGCTTCAACAGAATACGCTTTGATTTCATGCTAATAAAGATATTTTAACATTTTTTTACATAATGATTTGGTGATAATGGTTGGATGATGGTTGGGCATTTTAAAAATGTATATGTATCTATATTTAAATGTTTAAAAAATGATAAGCCTACACCAGCCACTTGTTGAGTTTATACAGTTTTCATTTTTGGATTCTTATTTTTAGCTGAATTTTTAGCCTGGTAATAACCAGCTCCTTGTTCTTCTCTTTATTTCGTACAGAGGGTCTGGACCCACGGCTATTGAGAAGCGGTTCCTTGCTGGAGRTGTGGACTCTGTTGAAGTTTAAAACAATTACATCTGATTTACCCAATTGCTAACATTTGGCCATGACATATGTAGCAGACCGTGAAAGACGCTAAGCTAAAAAGCTAAYRGGAAATTGCATCGCTGTAAACAACCATCCCCTACTGGGGAGAGAGAAGTACTGAGCTGAATGAGATGGCTGTAACTGATGCTGCAGGCTTTACGAGACAATTTTAATTYAGAAGCCTTGTCAACACAACTGAATGGCTTCATTCACTTCATCTGCTGCCRTTGTTAAACTACAGGCAGACTAACACAGAATGAAAATCGACGTCATTGTTCACAACTCCTCCTCCTGTTCACTGATTGGCCTGGTTGAATTTCTACCAGAGAAATCTATGTCAGTGGGRGAAAGCCCAGATGGCGGTGGTGGATCTGGGATTTTTCATAGAGGGGCCAAGTATTTGTTCAGCATCCTTGCACATAAATCCTTGGTTTTTGTAAGGTGTGTATATATTTAACCAGTCACACGTTTAAACACTTGTAATTTTAAAAAAGCTTTCACAGTAAATTATCCTAATAAATTTCACATGCATTTTTACAGTACATGAATAAAATACTCTCAAACACACAGCATGTGAGAGAATCCAGCCATCAATTGTGAGTTAAAAGACTTTTTCTGCACGCTTGTTCAAATTTTAAGAAAAGAAAAAGACTTCTGTCAGCTTGATTCATGTTGGACTTTTCTATTTGTCTCATTAGCTCCTCTAGTGTTTGGACATGGAACTGCAKGCAGCATCATCGCTCTTGGGCAAAGGACAGATGAGTGACAGGACAGGGGCACTTCAGGGGGCCAATCAAATTTCAACAGGGGCCAATGCCCCTGTGGTCCCGCCCCTAGAACCGCCCCTGCCGGACGGAGCAGAGAAGGGAGATTATAATCGAGCGCAATTGCATAGGAAGGTAATGGCAATCAGACGGTCACTGGTTTGAATCCCCTGATCTCTCAGATTTTTTCTAAGAGAGGCAAAGCACCCATACCTGCCTCCACTCTTGTTTGCCTCACTCTGGACCTTTGAGCAAGGCCCTGAACCCCTAAATGCTGTGGAAAACCAATGGTCARGTTGTGTCAAGAAGAGCGTCCAGCATTAAAACAATCACCAAGTCTTCATGCAAATTAGTTCACTGTGGTGGAACTCCACATCATTTTACTATAAATATTTAGACAGTTGAGGATTTATTGATTTCCCACATGCTTTATTCAAGAACCATTGGTTTTAATCACAGAAATGACCTTATGATGACACACTATATGATGATTTATAGATGACAAATGCATGTGCATGTTTTTGACTCTTAACATTTATCCAGTGTTTTAAAATTCTACCTACAAGTCATCAGTCAAACTAAGKTCTTCATTTTAACAGGTTAAAAGAGTAATCCGGGGATAAAAACCCACCTTTTCCATGATGTGGAGCAGCAGCACATTTTTAGCAATCCTGTGACACCTGCTTGTAGTCTTATTTATTGCTCCTATTGAGTTTTGGTGAAATTGGTACTTTGTCCCTCATAAGGAACAGACTGACAGAGTGCATCATGGATTCTGAGATGAGTAAATTTGTTTCCACCATTCACTGGAGGAGAGTTTGCCAATGTAGATTCAGTCCAGATACAATACGATACTATACGAGATGATACGATATGATACAATATAAYACAATATGATAAGATAAGATAAACCTTTATTGTCATTGTACAAAGCACAACGAAATTACAGTTCAGAACATCCATTCATAAAAAGACAGAACATACCAAACATAGGAGAACAGGTGATCCGGGTCATGGAGCCACAGACCCCTGCAAAGAGCAAGGATCGTCATCAAGAAAGAACATCATGAGGAGGTGCTACCCTGACAAGAAAAATGAAATACCACTTAAGGATAGATGAGGGGAAAAAAACAAAACATCATATCAACGAAATGTGACACGCTATGGCAGTTGTAGAAAAAAAAACCCTCATCAGAGCAAAAGCACATTTTTTAGCCAGAGAAGTAAGTGAGTTTGGTGGGGGGGGTTGGGGGGGGGTTG